CTAAAGCATATAGTTAGGGCTGGACCAGGTGACCCTGAATCCTCCCTTAGTTATGCTGCAATAGATGTAGGCTGCCGGGGGATTCCCATGATGCATTGAGTTTTTCCTTTCCAGTCACCTTTCTCACTCACTATGTGTTAACAGACCTCTCTGTATTGAATCATATCTGTTATTAATCTCTGTCTCTCTTCCACAGCATGTCTTTATCCTGTCTTCCTTCTCTCACCCCAACCGGTCGCAGCAGATGGCCCCTCCCCTCCCTGAGCCTGGTTCTGTTGGAGGTTTCTTCCTGTTAAAAGGGAGTTTTTCCTTCCCACTGTCGCCAAAGTGCGGCTCATAGGGGGTCATATGATTGTTGGGTTTTCTCTGTATCTATTTTTGTACAATCTACTGTACAATATGAAGCACCTTGAGGTGACTGTTGTTGTGATTTGGCGCTGTGTAAATAAAATTGAATTGAAAATTGAATTGAATTGAAATTGAGTGTGATGGAATAAAACTGATATGAAATGTTTGGAGGTCTGTGAAACCACCAGAACGTGTAAACTTAGGCTTCACATCTTTCACCTCCAAATTAACAGCTGTTACCTCTGTGACATCACACTGTCATGGTTTCGGCTGTGTGGCAGGCAGACTCACGGGGACACGGGGGATAAACTCAAAAAGCACAGCTTTATTGCTGGAAAAACAGTTCACAAGTTATATAAAACTAAACTGGGAAGAACTAAATATAAAGCTCACACAGGGAGAATCACACACAGCATGAGGGCGACCTAAACACACAGAGGGTTAACGAGGGAAGTGGGAGCACACGGGGAACACAGCTGACACAGATAATCGTAACGAGACAGGGCAGGAGTGAACACAACATGACGCATACTGACGAGAGACTGTCAAAGTAAAACAGGAAGTACACAGAGGTTCAGACAGGAGGAGAGAGAGCACAGACATAACGGGCTGGGGAAAACATTGAGAGGGGAGACGAGGGCTCACAGATACAGAGGGGCACACAGGGGGTAAAGGTCACAAGGGGAAATCAACATAAGGAACAACTTAACAGAGCAACCCGGGAACCGTGGCCTAAATGAAGAACAAAACACAAGAATACATGAAAACTAAGAATGCTGGGCCAACACGGCCCAGGATCACGACACACACACTCACCTGTGATGCTGATACTCTTTGTGTCGATAACCAAAACTCCACCTTCGATCCCCTGAAGCCCTGCCCCCAGCTGCTGCTCCGCCTCCTTTACATCAATCAGCTGACTGAACCGGAGGGAGAAGGTCACGACCACGCTGCCCCGACTGACGACACATCAATAACGAGCATCAATAAACTTGTCATCAGATTTATTAACAGCAGATTAAAGGAACTGATCGATAAAATCAGTTGGGTCGATCAGACATCTGACCTGAAGTCCTGAACCCAACACGACTCGTACAGCTGCTGGAGCTCGCTGGTGCTGAACGCCTCAGACACCTGCCGACCAATCAGAGGTGTGTGTTATTTTTCAAGATAGAACACAATAGCTGCTCCATGAACCTGCTGTCTTTCCACAATACACGCCACTGGCATCTGATTTTTCAGGAAAAAAGCCACTGACAACTGTTTTTTCAAAATAAAAGCCTGGGGTCTGACCAGGTGCTGCACGTCGTAGGCCAGAGATTTGAACTGCGGGCTGCTGGAGTTCTTCAACTCTTCGGAGAACACGGCTCCCTCCACGATCGCCATCCGTCCCATCAGCTGCACGGGCTTTGTGGCGCCTTTGCACACAAATAGGAACATCCATCGTTATAAAACTTCTGGAGTGATCAGCTGGTTCAAAGCAGACTGCGAGTTCACCTTTGGGCTTCAGGCTCAGCGATGAGACCACGGCCAGGCCGATGCAACAGATGAGCAGAAGTGACGAAACGACGATGAGGAGGATCTCCAGAGATGACAGGCGCCTCTTCATCCTGCACGATCGATACACAATCAATACTCGATCAAACCTATCGATATAATGCGAGCCACCTCTCAGAGCTCAAGTGTTTCACACTAAAAATGAAGACTTTCCTTTCAAATTAAAACTCCTGCATTTGTCCGTAGACTCACACAAAACCATTTTATTCAGACCTTGTACACACAGGAAGCACAGAAAATCGAGTAGTGAGCTGCGGCCTGGCCCACAGAATATTAGAGCATACATATACACAGAATAAGCTGCATATAACCTGTGCTGCTGTCTGCTGATGGGTTTTATCGTTTTAAACTTCCTGGCTCTCTGGTGTGATCAGCTGCCGTGTTCACTGTTTGAATGAGTGACGTTGTGACTTATTCAACTAACTTCATTCACACTGACAGTAAAGACTGAGATCTGTGCCTGCTTTGTGTGTAGTACATGTCAGAAACACAGATACATGGGTATGAAGTTCCCGCGGTCACATTTTAAACTGTTTAGAGGTAAAAGATCTCACCTGCTGCAGACCTCAGATCAGCTGCTCCTTCTCTTTTTCTTCAGGCGCAACGACTCGGAATCACAGTGAACGTCTGACTGGAAAAGACTGACGACTCATTATCAACACGACAGCTGATAATTAATGATCAACAACACGGAGCTGTTTGGAG